CCCCAGGCTTTCGCCCGTGCACGCTAAGTGACTTTCATTACAAGCATTTAGCTTTCCGAAGTCTATGACAACAATTGTTTGGCATTGACGGACGCGAATTTCTTGCCAATAAGCTGCTTCGACTTATACGATTATTTTTGTTTAAAAAACTGCAATGTAGCACAGTAATACGATTATGTTATCAAATCAATTTCATATTTATTTTCACATTTTTACTTAGCGGTCCTTATCTGTTTTTTCCGTTATTTACACGTGTAGGTCATTTCATTGTTATCCACATTTGATATCATTTATCACATACAGTACTGCCATGACACTCTTGTCTGTCCGCTACAACTGCCAAGAATTAACGCGATTGGCGAAGCGTAGTGACAGCGGGCCAATAGAGAGCAGGGTTCTTGCCATAATGCGGTTTGGACGCCAATTTTCGTACGTGCGTTAATCAAGCCGAATAGTTTGGCCGAATATTCGGCTATTCGGCCACCCTCCTGGTCGAATATTCGGTATTCGGCCTGAGGCCGAATACACTATTCGTTACAACACTAGTAGATATATATTTTTCTACTGATTATAGATGTGATACAGTATTTTCAACACTGATATCATCATTCGAGTACACTTTGAATATAAGGAGTGGAGCCCATACAACGGGGTTATTTACTTTAACACCTCTTGCAGGGTGTGGTGGTTACTGCACCCCTTCAGTGTTCTTGATTCATAAAATAACCAAAGCTTAATATCTCACCATGAAAATTTAGTTACAATCACGTATAAGATTTTGTTTTACACTTATTGAGTAAAGTTCGATCGGTTACAAGCATGCGTCGGTACAGAACTTTCACTTGTTGTGAGTAGTGTAGCTGAGAGAGAGAAAAAGAATATGTCGGACGGACAGAACATGTTTTAATAGCTCCATCTAGATTTTCAGATGCAGCGCTAGGTTACAATTATTCGGCCGCCACACAGGATAAATAATCTCAAACAGGTTTGTACCTATCGTAAAATGTCACCACAGATTTGGCTGCATTTGGGAAACTAAAAGTATTTTTACGCAACGTTAAACGCGTACTTTAATTACGGTACGATAGCTTTGTAACTATTTAATTTTAATAACGTTTATAATAAACCTTGCATTATAGACGTTCTCTCGTGTTTAAATTAAACATCAAATGAAATAAATTGTTCATTTTAGACAAAAATAAACTTTTTAAATTAGTAATTATTAACCAATTTAAGTGCTTCCTACACTTACGAAGCATTTTCTAGCGAAATGAACACTTTTAGAAAAAAGAAAAAGTAAATTAACCGTCCAATCAAATTTAAGTAGAGGGGATTATTCATAGAGATTCGTTCACAAAATTCATTCCATTACAAAGACATGGGCTCTTCATTTGCCAAAATCGATAACTTCTGAAAATAAAAAGTACAAACATAGATAAAAATAATATACATTTTTGTTTTAAAATGTTTGTTAATATTTAAATTTAAACAGAATTCATTATAACTTCATCAGCTTTTACTTAAGGATATTTGATTTGGCCTGTAAACAGTACATACAATGATAGAATATATACCAATACTGTTTATATTATTAATGATAAATAATGAGATAAGCATATCATTTACATTAAAATATAAACAAAAAAAATCAATCTACATTCGCAATATAATGAATTTTTTATAACTTTAAAATATTTATTAATCCTATTTTTATATTAAATTTTTGAGATGATAATTTACAGTTTAAATCATAAATGCGCGTAACATACGTAATTTCTATATAATTGATTGAATGTCGTACATTCAACGTATTATAATTATAATTACTCTGCCTTAAATATGTAATTTACATTTATCTTTATTTATTCTTGGAATATCTTCAGATTTTATAATATTAATTAAATAATTATTGTTAGGTTAATATAAAAAAATACAAATGTATATTATTGTAACATAGTCACAATAGCAGGTAGCAATTTGTAATCTTGTCTTAATTTAAAAATTTACGTGACTTCCGATCCAAACCCGAAGTAGGCATACGGTTAATCGGACTTTCGGCTTCTATACTTTTCATATCTGGTACTGGATTTTCATCTATCTCAATACATATTCGAGATAAACGAAGAACAGAGAGTCAGACAAACGACAGTGAAAAGTAATGGGTCTGCAATCAAAAAATTCCAGCCAAACATTTTCGTCACATAAAAAATTGAAATATTTTGCGCCAGGTTTGTTTCCACGTGGTTAAATTTTAAAATTTTTCAAATATTTCGATTCCAGACGTAATAGTAAATACTTTATTTATGTTCGTAATGTTATCAGGAATGAAGTGACGTTTGTACAGAAGAGAGATTGCAATCGTTTTTATTTATCTTTATATCTTAATGTATAAGTAGTTATCAGTTTATTTTATTCACATGCACAGCTGGTTAATTTCTATTGATTTGAACAATCGACAGACAAAAGTCTGCTTATATTAAATCAGGTTAGTTATTTTAGTAATAGATTTACATACGAGTTTTACTTTATGTAGAGATATTTTTAAATGTTATCTAGAAATACTAAAATAATATCTATACAAATATTTTATATCGATTTATTGAAACCATTACAAAGTTGTTTCTGTTTTACAATCTGTGTTTATTGGAAGGACAAAGTTTCGATAAGTTTAAGTTTGTCCTTGCAACACCCAAATTGTATTAATTTTCTTCGTTAAAAATCGTTTTTATTTCTTATATAATAATGCTAAAATGTAAATAATACAAAATAGCTTTTAAGCTGCAAAATTAATGATTTATCCTTAGGAAAAATGTATTTTAAAATATATAATGCATAAAAGTACAAATTTATGGCTGATAAATTTACTACGAGTAGTTTGTAAGACTCTGGACTCTAAATTTAAATTTTTTAATAGCCATTTAATAAATATTTAAAAACATTAAAGGTCATCTCCAGCAGATATCATTAAAAATGTAATGTTTTATCAATAAAAAAATTTTTATGTAAAAATTCTCAAAACCAGAAGTAGATAGGACNTCACCCAGAGCAAACCGCTGAACCTAAAGAGGTGAAATTTGGTATACAGTTAGGGTACGTCATGAAAGCGCGCACTAAGAAGGGATTTTTTGAAATTCCCCAGCGGAGGGGAGGGAGAGGATTAATTAAGGCTTAACCGGAAAAACGTCTTCTACTGTACTAATTTAGATGCGATTTTACGTTTTCAACTACGTTTAGACTTCATTGAGTACTTAGGTGTATTAAATTGATAAAATTTCAGACATTGTTATAAATATTTTTATCTATTTCGATTTTAAAAATGTTCGAACCGTTTTAAATTCGAATTTGTTATTGCATATTGGTTCGATTATAGAACGATTGTAATAGTTCCAGAAAGTTGATCAAATTGAAAATACTTAGTTTGATTCTCGGCAATTCTCTTCAGCGGTAGGTGTTATATAACAATTACTATAGTTGTTGAAATATTGAATGTAAATGGGGTTTGCTTGCAAAACTTACGCGGACGAAGTCTCGGGTAACAGCTAGTAAGATTATAAGACAAAAGGCTATTTGATCCGGTCTTCGGAAATTTTTACAAAAGAATTTTTTTCCTTGCATAAAGCATTACATTTTAAGGCAATCTGCTAAAGATTGCGTGCGTAAAAAAGGTTACAATCAACCTTAAGTGAGACTGTCCTTAGAACTTGAGGTTTACCATAAAGTTTTCGAAAGTTGAAACTAGGCCTGTAGGAATTTCTATATATATATTTTTTTCTTCATAGTTTTATCTGATATAATTTGTGTTTATATTAAAAAATAAACTTCATTAGATATTTAAAACACATGAAATATTTACTTACAGCAGCATCTAAACAGCTTATATTTCGTTCCCAGGACAGAAAGAATAAACTCTAGGATTATTAAGATGGATGCATTTCAGAAAATGTTTCCTGAGGACAGTAAAGATTACCCCTGGGATGAAAAAGTTCTTGAAGATTTTAAAAAACTAATAAGTAAGTATTATCATAAACATTATGGTACTGTATATAAAATATTTCGAATGTATTATTACGACGGTAAATTTATATAATATTATATATTTTTCAATAATTGGGCTGCAATTTGAAAAATTGTACACCTATAAATTCCTACTGTCTTTCATCTGTCCGTTTAGCTATCTGTCTTTGCTTAATCTCAATAATGTAGTTAAGTAGGTGAAATATTAGATGCGATTTGGAAAGACTACGGGTTCCCGGTTCTGATTAAGTGTACAGGAAAGTTGATGGTTAACTTGGTCGTCGAAGGGTCAAGACGTACAGTACTACTCAGCGCTCGTTATTTCGTTGAGGTTTATACTGGATATATTGGTCGGATTGTATTGTTAGATACATCGTTGGAAAGCGGATTCGATCACGGTTGGTTTTATATTGGAATGGTTATGCTATATTTTATTAGGGGGGAGTTATGGATTATTAAATTAGGTAATATTCGGTTCGTTTAGCGGGGGGTTTTAATTGTATGGAGTGTTAGCTTATATTCTTTATTTGAGGTTACATTACTGGTCATAATTTCAATATTTAGTGTTATTTGTTTAAATTTTAACGGTTATAGTCTAGTTTTAATAATTTTCTATTTAGGTTCTTGGAACTTAACGCTCTGGATTTTCTTTGTTTGTTTCAAAGTCTAACGGTCGTTGTTATTGTCTTTCTAATGGGTTTCTTCCGGTCGTTGTAATTGTGTTTTTAACGGATTTGTAACGGTTTCTTTTTGNTTAGCACGCACCGCCCCGGTAAGATGTCCGAACTACTCTTTCAGCTCAGTTCCACTAGTTTGGCTGACTAATCAAATGAGAGCGCACACCCTTAAGAGTTGGCAGACCAGGTGGGAAACTTGCCCGAATGGCAGGCTCACTTTTAAGTTTTTGCCTAATGTGCAGCACCGCCAAAACCTATCACACTTAAACGTTTCCTTTAATATGACCCAGCTGTACACGGGTCATGGCAATTTTCGTAGTTACCTTAAAAGGTTCTTAAATAAAACTGACGGACTTTGCCCTTGCTCTAAAAATGCAACAGAAGACCCAGAGCATATCATATACTTTTGTTCCAACTACTCAAGACAGCGAAACGATCTTATTTCAGTCATCCTGTCGGAAAATGAACTTTGGCCATGTGAACTAAAAATCCTTACAGAAAACAAGAAGATACACAAAGCATTAAAAAAATTCGTACAGGATATAAAAATCCTAGATTAGAATCATTTTAATTTTACTAATGTCGGGTGTCAATTATAATGTACTATTATATTTTATGCATATCTCTTTTATATATTGTTATTACAAATAATATTATCATAAGCTTCTTACATGCAGTATTGAATAACTATTTCAAATGTCGGGTAAAATTAAATTGTTAAACTCTGTTAACACTGCTACCTGTTAATAATATAATAATTCTATTTTGTTTCCTATTTCAAAATTAATTAGCAATATAACAAAAATACATATACTTGTCAAAAATATTTAGTTGTAAACTGCAATGCACTGTAACTGTAAATATTAATATTAAGACAGTATTAATTCAGTATTATTTTTTTTTTTTTTCAACGAATTATTTTGCTTTGTATACAATGTATGCATTTGTTAACTTCTTACGGTTTTCTCACTGTAAAATATTTCTTTACCTAAAATTGTCAAAATCATCAGATTTTTATGTAACGTCTACAATGTAAATTTTGAATATAGTTGTATAAATGAAATTTGTATTGAAAATAAAAGAAATACATATTTATGGTCCCCGCAAGGGAGCTGCTCCTGTCTTACCTTTTCTATCTATCTAAATTTCCCCTTCGCCCTAATTTCTCACAAACTTTTCTTCTCATTTCCGTTTCTTTTCACGGGCTATACCTTCGAGTGAGGCCCATCTCTCCTAGCAGACTGTACTGTACAGGAAAGTTCGTTCTAAATAGACATTATGTTATTTCAAATGCAAATATTTTCTCTAAAACTTGTTAATTAGATGTACCGCACAACTCTGTTGCTAACAGGAAATGTATGATGTACAGGAGCATGACACTTAATTTCAGACGAAGTGTATATACTTTAAATTGAATAAATTGAAGCAGGCATTCTGACGACGTCAGAATATTGCTCGTTCTTTTATGAATTAAATATAGAGATAATTTTAGAATACACAACAGAATTAATAAAATAGTCGGAAATCTATCATAAAAAAGTTAGTATAATTTGACTACAGAATTTTAAAATTTTATTCCAGTTAGAGTAGGTACGTAAGTATACAATCAAACCTCGATGTAGCGCCATCATTTGTTAACTTATGAAATTTTGCTAAATCAAATGTGACGTTAAACGGAAAAACCTTTGTTATCAATACCCATATTGATAATACCAATGAGCCCTGAGAGTTGGTATTGGGTTCCCTCCTTGACAACCGGCTGACCAGGTGTAATTTTCCGGAAAATCTTCACGTTTGTAATATCTAATTAGAAACCAACTTGTCTTAGAAAGTCTTTCCTGGAGACAGATCGAACACGTGTTACTTTGCTGTAAAGAAATAAATTGAACCGAAGAATCTCAGACAATAAGAGTTATATAAAATAGTGGAGTCTAACAGATAAGATCAAAGTTTAAGAGTGTGTATGTCACGTTATTTGGCGAAGCGATCCCTAAACAACGTAAAATTGTATAGTACATTTATTAATTCACAAGGCTACAGCATTCCTAATTTTATTTTTAAGAGAAATATTCATTCGAATTGCATGCGAGGGGCGCGATATCGAGGGGCACGATATCAAGGTTCGATTGTCTTGATACGTTATCAAAAGTCGAATTCAAATATTTAATTTGAAATAGAGTTCCAAATTCTAAATTTATACCATAATTGTTTTTTACTTTTTTATTAACAAATGATTCTGATACAGGCATGTGCCTCTTAACTATTCGGGATACGCTCTAAGAAATATGTCGTTAAACGAACATTATTGAGTGAAATTAGACAAACGATGTCCACTCATATAGGTCTGCCGGATAAAATCGCCCAACATACGATTTCCCGCGCTTTTCCGTCTTTTCAAACAAACAACGGTTATCACCATGGAAACGCCAATCAGGCGACTTTGGAAACTCGACCGCAGATTGGCTAGAAGACATCGTATGACCTGTGGACCTCCGTTAGAGCCACTAAGCGCTGATTTGTGGAATTCCATTTGCTTCAATCTGTATAAAAGGATTGAGTTTAGGCGGGATGTTGAGTTCGCCTAAGACACATCAAGGGAACTCACGTTTTCTAGCTTCGCCTAAGCTTGCATAGAAGATTGTTTCGTCTTGCTGTGCGGTAACTAACGTTGGAAGGAGTTCATTGCAAGGTGTCCTTTTCCACAGACCTGTTGTCGTGGATTAAAAGTGTTTGAACTTTGTTACACCTGAAGTATTGTAATTGTTTTGTTTGTGAACTTTTGTAACTGTATGTACGTTTTACTCGTAATATAAACTGTTTTGTGGAAATTCAACAACGTCTCGCATCGTTTTGAATTTGACTGGCGCACTCTCGACAGGATTACGTACTTCGAACTACCAAGGATCCAAAAGGCTGATCTGCGACAAAAGAAACAGAACAACACCGGCAATCATTGACACAGGTAAATTATTGTTTTTGCTCGCTAGCTCAGAGATGCTAGACGCGTGGAATCGCGGGGGTTTAGGGCAAAGGATTGGGAAGACTGTGATCCGGGGATGTCGGATGACCGAAACAGGCAGAAACAGATGGGACGGGACAAAGGTGTCCCAGGAGATAAGCTCAAAATGATGAGACTACGTATCGAACTCACAAAATCGGACACAAGAAAAGCAGAAATCGAGTTCCAGCTGGAAAAAGCGAGGCTGCAAGAGGAAATCGCGGAATTCAAGCGGCAAAATCAGAGCGCTTATTAGAGCAAGAAAGGCGGCTCTTCGAGGCGCGGAGCTCAGTAGGTCGGGCCGTCAAGAGAGAGTAGACGACCCAGGCCACCAGGAATGGAGCAACCCTGTGGAAGTAGCTAAGGTCACGGAGGAGTTTGGGGAGGTATCAGGTAGCATGTTGGTCGATAACTGCGAGGAAGTTAGGGAGTCAACTGACTCTCTTATGAGACTCTCAAAGAGAAATGACGAGGAAACCCATTCCCTCGACAAGAAGTTTGGTCTAACAGACCCCCAAGGCTAATTGTAATGCCTGTGGAAGGGCTGGGCACTGGAGGGGGGAGCTCATTCTGACCTGAAGGCATCCAGTAAGGCCAAAGAGGCACGGCTCGTAACTACGAGAAAGACATCCCTACCATACGAACTGTCGGTAGTGAGGGTAACGGTGTGTAATCAACCAAAGGTCAAGGAGTTGCCGAACAGAAGTAAACTAGTATGCGGCATAAATTATCTTTCAGCTATAGTTGACTCTGGAGATGAGATTTCGGTCATGAGGGAATAATTGGTGGTGCAAACGAAGGGATAAGTCCAACGAGTTAGATCCTTCGGTCACCGGATTGATTTGACAGCGGTCCTGATAGGGGTGTGGGAGGAAGGCCTCACAGGTCGTGTGAGCCGGCGATGGTGACTTGTGCTGTGACAGGCAAGTTACACCAGACCATGGACGTTTACGAGGTCGGCCTGCTTCTTTTCCAGCATTTTGCTCTGTCATCAGGGGTACTGTTAACACTCCATGGGCAGTGACTATTGTTCCTCATAGACATATTCCTGTTCTTCACTTAGCTACTTTTAGCTCTGAGTATATAGTTTGTATTGAAACATACATTCATACCACGAAATACATTATAATTAACGTGTACTGCCCCAGACCGCATAACATCAGCGATATTTTGGCTGATCTTCAACACATAGTTGAGACTTATCCATCCTCTAACTTCATTATTGCTGGTGACATTAATTCTCATTCTCCGGCTTGGGGTGGGGATGCGCTTGATGACAGAGGCAGAGCTTTTGAGGAATTTCTGGCATTAAACAACATGCTCAT